TCCCTTAAGAAGTGGGAGGCACATATGCAAACTGTTGTAATTCCTACACCGTTCACCTGATTTGGATGTAAATACCCTCAAATTAAAGCTGACAGTCTGCAGTTAAAGCACATCTTGATTGTTTCATTTCAAATCCATTGTGGTGGTGTATAGAGCCAAAAATGTTAGAATTGTGTTCATGTCCCAATATTTATGGACCTGACTGTAGATCAAGTGAGGTTTGTTCCAGGGAGAGAAGGTAGAGACAATGGATTTAGATCTCTGTTTCTCATACAAAAAAGTAGGAAAGAGAAAACTCCTCTGCTGGTACTCTCGATTGATGCCGAAAAGGCTTTTGACAGAGTAAACTGGGGATATATGTTGGACACTTTGGAAGTACTAGGAATAGGACCTAGGATGAGAAAATGGATAAGGAAATTATATAGTCAACCTTCGGCTGCAATCATGGTCAATGGGGAATTATCAGAGTATTTTGGGATGCAGAATGGTACAAGGCAGGGGTGCCCTTTGTCTCCTTTACTATATGTCCTATCTCTAGAATTGCTTCTGGCTACTATAAGGAATAATATAGATATAAAGGGAATTTAGGTAGGAGGGACAGAGCATAAGGTGGCAGCTTATGCAGACGATATGTTATTTTATGTGGGACATCCAAGGACAAAACTGCCAAATTTAATGAAAGTTTTAAAAGAATATGGGGAGCTATCTAACTTACAAATTAACCCTACTAAAACAGATATTTGAAATATAAACCTTCCTAATAGAGAGAAAAAAAATGTTGCAGGAGAAATTTCCTTTTGTTTGGAGAGAAAGAGAATTAAACTATCTAGGTATAAAGTTACAACATTATCTCCAAAGAACTTATATAGATCAAACTATATCCCATTATTAAACGAGATTAAGGATGAATTAAGGAAATTAGGATGGGGATCTCTATCATGGATAGGAAGGATAAACCTGCTAAAAATGGTAATTGTTCCAAAAAGTTTTTATATAAATTTCAAATGATACCTATTAAACTACCAGAAGTATATTTTAGAATAATTAGAATAATTTTAACAAGATTTATTTGGAGGAATAAGAAACCTAGAATAATCTGACATTCTGAGTAGAGAGAAAGCGAAAGGACGATTAGGAGTACCAGACTTGAAAAAATATTATAGCGCAGTAATATTGGCTAGAATCTATGACTGGACACACAATGCAAAGGGGAAAAGCTGGATAAAAATAGAAAATACATTAAGTCATGCAAATTTGAGTAGAATTGTATGGTTACCTCCACAATTCCGTGGATTGGCAGACAGTACAAGTGTGTATACACGTAATGTTTTAAGAATATGGGATGTTTTACACAAACAAATGAGATGGGAATTTAATCACTGTTAATGCCCTTAAGGTCCACAGAGTTTTTTTCCCCCGGGTAAAGAAAGCATCACAGGCAGGTGGATAAAGAAGAAAGATGTACAATTAAGAGATATAATGGCGGGAGAAGAAATATGTTCTTATAGGGAAATGGAAAATAAGAATGAAATATTTGTGAGAATGGATGAATGGCGTTATTTTCAATTGAAACACTTTGTGAGGAAGCTTCCAGGGCCACTGAGAATAAAGGAGAACTGAAACCCTTCAGAGCACTTGATAGATACACGGGGAGATGGGAAACACGGGGTTTCTAAAGTATATAAAATCCTTATAGGATTAAACACAGTCACAAAGCCCCCATTTATAGAGAAATGGGAAAGGGATTTAGGAGTAATTGTAGATGAGGAAAAGCAAAAGAAAATATATAGATTAATACACGGGAATGTAAATATGAGGGAGGTGGAAATGAATTATAAATATATACAAGATGTATATCACACCGAGTGTAGCACATAGAATAAGGGGAGATAATTCACCTATGTGTTGGCGTGGATGTGGAGGTAGAGGCACAATGTGTCACATTTGGTGGGAGTGTGTTAAAATACAAGAATATTGGGGAGGTATAGTCCGCTTAATTCAGGAAATAACGGAGGTTAATATCTCAAAGGATCCAGAGACTGTTCTCTTTTATGGTGTTAAACCTTCAGTCAAAGAATATAAAAGCTCAGGTTTAATGTATTATTTGAATACAGCGAAGGGAATGATACCCAAGTTTTGGAAGGAACAAGAAGCACCAAAAATAAAGGACTGGGTAGATAAGGTGGAGCAGGTATATAGATTGGAGGAACTGTGCCACATGGACGAGGACAAGATGGAGGTTTTTCAGTTTAGGTGGAGGAAATGGGAAGAATTTAAAAAATCTGATTTATATCTAGAATATAGCTAGAAGAGTTCAGAAACCATCGGAGGAAATGGAAGCAGTAAAGTGGAAATATTCTCGGATTATGATCTCTCGAACGAGTAGAATATTGCAAAGTCTAGGCTGTCAGGGATGGGGAGGGGAAGTGTTTTGTATACTGGGGTGGGGGGGATGGGTGGGGGGAATAGGACATTAATGATGAAAGTTAATATTTTTGATATTATGTCAGGTAAATCGGAATGTTATATTTTGACTGTCATATTAATGTTTGTATGTATACATTGGTATTGTGAAATTTTTTTTATAATAAAACATTTAAATTAAAAAAAGAATATAGGTTAAAAAAATCTGCATTTTCAATACCCTTAACAATTCCCCTCCCCTTTTCTTGTTACCCCTTTCTGTGTATCTAGTTCACTATATCACAGACTTTAGTATATGTGGATTTATTTGTGGTGAATAATGTAATCAGACATACTACAGTTAGATTGGTATGACAACACCCACAAACAAGATTACTAGTGTATCATTAATCTTTTAGATGTAGATTTATTGCATTCACTTTTTTTTTTCTTTTTAGTGGTTGTCATTTATTCAGTATTTATAGAACTTTAGAAGATCTAGCTTTAGTGCTTAAGGTTTTAGAGAGTATATATATATACATCATTTATAGCCTAACGGTGTTCATGAAAAATAGTGGAGAAATTGTTTCTGTTTATATTATGAGATTCCAATTATCATATAAGGCAGGATTCAGCATTACATTATTCGATAAATCTGCTGTCACCAGAGAGCACTAGGTATTACCAACAATAGTATGAATTACTGAGGTATATGTACATGCAGTCCTCTTTGTTTAAGTGTACATATATGCACTTTTTATATACTACCACTAGAGGTCCATGTAAGAATTTGCATTATTCTTATTGACTCCTGTGCATAGCTTGTATGTTTTCCTTTCCCCTACAGGGTCCCAAGTGACGCACTTCTGGTCTGGAACTTCCGGCTCCAGTAGATGCGTTCCAGAGAACAGCACGCTGCTAGGGGGTTAAACAGCCAGCAATAGAAAATGGCATATCCCCACTGCCATGCACCCACTTTCATGCAATACATCGCCTGTGGAGGCACATTTGCAGACTTTACATCCCAGTTTTGTAGAGGAGAAGTGAGGATGGTGAGATAGATATACATGCATGTCTTATAGAAAAGTACACCAATAAGTGATCATAAGGTATAGAGCCTATTATGGCAAGTAATTTACATATATCTCTCTTTATGGAATTAAATTAGTTATTTGTAGTATGAACATTATTGTTACTCTTATCCGTAATTTTAGACCTTTTATCAATTAATTTTTTTATAGTATATTTATTGTAAGTTTTATCTATTTGCACTCTATTATGGTCTAGTTTGCATTTGATTATATATAGTAATTGCTGTTATGCTGTTTATTTTTGTGCACATAGCGTTCAGTCAGTGGGTGGTGTTCCCTCCCCCCTTCTCTCTGCCCCCTAATGGCAGGTGGGTGGTTAAACTAATTGATGCTATCTATATAAGGAGGTAGAGATCTTGGGGAGACAAGCCATAGCTCTGAAGAAGGGGAGTAGTTCCCCGAAACATATCAACTTTTTTTGTCATCTTGTCTCCATTTGGAGGTGGAAAGTGGACTCTATTGTTGTGCACTTTATATATTGATATGCCTATAGCTCATTAGACTTGTCACCTCAAAGTGTTTGGGATAATGCACTAGGCATTTGCGCCCACTGTTTTTGAGCTGTGTGCAGTGGTGGATTTCCCTGATCTGAGGAGGGCTTCACTGCCGCCACTTTCTAGTCTGGATTGCAGTTCTAATATGTGATAGTTGTTCTGTGTGATGGGTGCTTCTGCCAGTTTCTGAGCACTGGAATGTCAAGTTTGATTTTGTTCCTGTAAATCAACTTATGAGTAAACAAATGTAGCATACAAAAACCTTAATTCAAATTATTATTCCATGAGTATAGTGTTAATAGGAGTGTGACATTCAAATAAAAGTCCATCAAGTCCAATTAAACATTTCTCCGTGAATGTAAGTGTCCATTAATCCATCGTATCCAGTGAATTTGTGTATCCACCACCACCACCAAATACAGTCTTTTATCAGAAGTATAGAGCCCCAATCATAGGTGGTCTGTTAGGACATTAATCTTTTGTAGGTCACGATCCAAATCATCCCCCACAGAAATGCTCAGATATAGCAGTCTCGTTCTCCTTGCCTCTTACAAGGACTCAGATGTAAAGAAATGGAATCTCCAATAGTGAAGTACCGAAATAAAATATTTTATTGTATAAAAGCCAAAATCTACTTACAAAATTTCCAATAGAAATTGCAGGTAACAAACGCCGTTGGTTCCAGCTGCAGGTGTCGGGGGTGATATCAGCACGGACTCCCCAACATATGTTTTATCCTAATGGACGTTGCCAAGGGGACCAGTCGAACGTGCTGACGTCCTCTTACATTATATATAGACACTCTACAATAATAGAAAAGTTTTCTCTCCAAGAACATCTAAGTTATTGAAATTACCTCTGCAAGACTCCGACCATTCTACACAAATTTATCTTGCATATAAATTCAGTAATTTTATTAATTGATTTAATTACGGAAAATTTCAAATATTGACATATGTACCGAAGGTTGAAGCCCCCTAGTGTATGTTACTAATATCATCATATTGAAATTCAAAGACATACACTATATTGCCAAAAGTATTGGGATGCCTGACTTTACACGCACATGAACTTTAATGGCATCCCAGTCTTAGTCCATAGGGTTCAATATTGAGTTGGCCCACCCTTTGCAGCTATACCAGCTTCAACTCTTCTGGGAAGGCTGTCCACAAGGTATAGGAGTGTGTCTGTAGGAATGTTTGACCATTCTGCCAAAAACACATTTGTGAGGTCAGGCACTGATGTCGGACGAGAAGGCCTGGCTTGCAGTCTCCCTTCTAATTCATCCCAAAGGTTTTCTTTCAGGTTGAGGTTCGGACTTGCAGGCCAGTCACGTTCCTCCACCCCAAACTTTCTCATCCATGTCCTTATGGACTTTGCTTTGTGCACTGGTGCTCAGTTGTGTTAGAACAGGAAGGGGCCATCCCTAAACTGTTCCCACAAAGTTGGGAGCATGAAATTGTCCCAAATGTCTTGGTATGCTGACGCCTTAAGAGTTCCCTTCACTGGAACTAAGGGGCCAAGCCCAACCCCTGAAACACAACTCCACACCATAATCCCCCCCTCCACCAAACTTTACACTTGGCACAATGCAGTCAGGCAAGTACCATTCTCCAGCCAAACCCAGACCAGTCCATGGGATTGCCAGACAGAGAAGTGTGATTTGTCACTCCAGAGAACACATATCCACTGCTTGAGTCCAGGGGCGGCATGCTTTACACCATTGCATCCAACACTGAATTGCACTAGGTGATGTAAGGCTTGGATGCAGCTGCTCTGCATTGGAAACCCATTCCATTCTACACATTGTTGTGATAGTCTGAAGGCCACATGGTTTGGAGGTATTTAGCTATTCACTTTGCAGACAGTTGGCAACTTCTGCATACTGTGCACTTCAGCATGTGCTGACCCCGCTCTGTCATTTTACGTGGCCTACCGCTTCGTGACTGAGTTGCTGTTGATCCCAGTTGCTTCCACTTTGTTATAATACCACTAACAGTTGACTGTGGAATATTAGTAGCAGGGAAATTTCACGGATGCACAAGTGGCAACCTATCACGGTTGCATGCTTGAATTCACTGAGCTCCTGAGAGTGACCCATTCTTTCACAAATGTTTGTAGAAGCAGTCTGCATGCCTAGGTTCTTAATTTGATACTCAATTCCTTGAAAAAGTATTCATACCCCTTGATACTTTCCACATTGTCATGTTACAACCAAAAACGTAAATGTATTTTATTAAGATTAAATGTGATAGACCAACATAAAGTGGCACATAATTGTGAAGTGAAAGTAAAATGATAAATGGTTTTCAATTTCTTTTTATAAATCTCTTAAAAGTGTGGCGTGCATTTGTATTCAGCCCCCTTCACTCTAACTAAAATCTATTGGAGCCTATTGCCTTCAGAAATCACCTAATTAGTAAATAGTCCACCTATATGTAACTTAACCTCAGTTCTGTGAAGCCCTCAGAGATTTGTTAGAGAACAATGGTGAACAAACTTCATCATGAAGGCCAAGGAACACACCAGGCAGGTCAGGGATAAAGTTGTGGAGAAGTTTAAAGTAGGGATAGGTCATAAAAAAATATCCCAAGCTTTGAACATCTTACGGAGCACTGTTCAATTCATCATCCGAAAATGGAGAGAGTATGGCACAACTGCAAACCTACCAAGACATGGCCGTCCACCTAAACTTACAGGCCTTAATCAGAGAAGCAGCCAAGAGGCACATGGTAACTCTGGAGGAGTTTCAGAGATCTATAGCGCAGGTGGGAGAATCTGCCCACAGGACAACTATTAGTCGTGTACTCCACAAATATGGCCTTTATAGAAGAGTGGCAAGAAGAAAGCCATTGTTGAAATAAAGCCATAAGAAGTCCTGTTTGCAGTTTGCGAGAAACCATGTGGGGGACACAGCAAACATGTGGAAGAAGGTGCTCTGATGAGACCAAAATTTTACTTTTTGGCCTAAAAGCAAAACACTATGTTAGGTGGAAATCTAACTCTGCACATCACCCTGAACACACCATCCCCACCGTGAAACGTGGTGGCAGCATCATGTTGGGGTGATGCTTTTCTTCAGTAGGGACAGGAGAGCTGGTCAGAGTTGGTGAAAAGATGGTTGGCGCCAAATACAGGGCAATCTTAGAAGAAAACCTGTTCGTCTCCAAAAGACTTGAGCCTGCGGCGGAGGTTCACCTTCAAGCAGGACAACAACCCTAAACATACAGCTAGAGCTACAATGGAATTATTTAGATCAAAGCATATTCATGTGTTGGAATGACCTAGTCAAAGTCCAGACCTAAATCCAATTGAGAATGTGTGGCAAGACTTGAAAATTGCTGTTCACAGATGCTGTCCATTCAATCTGACAGAGCTTGAACTATTTTACAAAGAAGAATGGGCAAAAATTTCCCTTTCTAGATGTGCAAAGCTGGTAGAAACATACCCAAATTTACATTTTGGGTTTTAACATGACAAAATGTGGAAATTTTTCAAAGGGTATGATTACTTTTTCAAGACACTTGGCCTGTGGCCATGGAGGTAATTGGAACACCTGAATTCAATGATTCGGAAGGGTGTCCCAATACTTTTAGCAATATTGTGTATCTTGTCTATTTTAGATTAATTCATAAGACTATGAATTTCTAGAAAAGACTCTTCCCCACCTAAATATATCCAAATAAAAACAAAAAATTAAACAATAATTAAAAAATGAAATAATATATAAAACATATAAAAATAGTATATGAAATATTAACGAAAAAAAGATAAATACAGGACAAATTATTTCCTTCTTAATCTTTTACTATTTCCTTCTTACTGTTGCTAATAAAGCTGTTAATGTCCCACTCCACATTGTGGCCATGGGAGGTATGTGATTTCCGCTTAAAAATCCATCTTGTTTCCAATTGGGAGATACCTCTCTAATGTGGTACATATCTATCTATACCAATAACCCTTAGGCTAAATGGATCTTTATTGTGTTTTAAAGCCTAATGCTTTGATAACCTATGACTTGGGTATCCTTTTTTTAATATTGTCAATATGTTCCCCAATTCTGGTTTATAGGGTTCGTTTCGTCCTCTCCGCATATTGCTTTTTACATGGACAAATGAGCATGTAGACTACATGTGGTAGTACACGTTATAAAATGTGTTATTTCTATGATCTGTTATCTCAGATACAAACATTTTTACCTGTAGGACCAGTTCACACTACATGCGTTTCAGTTGCTTTTTTTCTGCATCCAAAATGCACAGAAAGTAGGTTATGTGGTTGTCAGTCATAGTTCACATAAGTGCTTGCAGTTCCAGTGCGTTCAGGTTGCAGAAAAAAAAGCAAAACAGGCTGCATTTTTCTGCACAGAACTGCACTAAAAAATGCACTGGAACACACATATCCCTATTTAAATTGAAGAAAAAGAGAGGGGGTAAGTGAACTGGAATGCATAAAACAACACACTGTAACACGTCAATAACGCACCGGAAAGCGTCAAAAACACACATGCGGAAACGCATCTGGACTGCGTTTCTATAGTGTAAACCGGCCCTTAGAGCTAGTTCACACTAGATGCAGTCCAGTGCGTTTTTTTTTTCTGCATCAAAACTGCATGCACAGTGTTTTCCATGTATTCCAATGACCCTAGTTCACACCAGTGCAGTCAGTTTCCAGTGCAGAAAAAAAAAAGTAGAGCATGCTGCATTTTGTTCTGCACTGAACCATACTGGAACGTATGTGTTTTTGTAGTGTGAACTGGCCTATAAATTCCGAATACATTTTTGCTTACAGTTCACATCACATGCAGTTCCTGGTGCAGTTTGCTATGTTCCAGTATGATTCTGTGAAGAAAAAAATGCAGCATGTTCTACTTTTTTTTTCTTTTCTCTGCACCGGAAACTGACTGGAACTGACTGCACTAGTGTAAATTAGAGCCATTGGAATACATGAAAAACACTGTTCGTGCATTTTTGATGCAGGAAAAAAGTGCACTGAACTGCACGTAGTGTGAACTAGCCCTAACTCCCCACTGTTTTGCATACCTTACATTTTGTACATGGAAATAATTATTTTAATTCCTTAATTACTTCAAGTCCGGACACTTTCACCCCCTTCCTGCCCAGGCCAATTTTCAGCTTTCAGTGCTATCACACTTTGAATGAAAATTGGTGGTCATGCAACACTGTAACATATGAATTTTTTAGCATTTTTTTTGAGACAGATAAAGCAATTGATTTCCTTGTGCCCTTGCAGAATGCATGCAGAAAAACTGACGTCTCTGCACCATGGTGTGAACGAGCTCTTAGTCTCGGTTCACACTACTACGACCTGAAATTTGCACAACTTACAAGTGCGACTTTGCCAGGCAACACTTGAGTACTACTTTGAAGCAACTCTGAAGAAGCTTTCAGGTAATGCCTGGGTAATCTTCCTGTAATGTTGAATCCAAATCACATCAGTATAGATGAGGATCCGACTTGGAGGCAACTTCCATTAAAGTCTGTGGGCACAAGTCAGATAGATGTTGCCTTGAAGTAGTACAAGAACCTTTTCTAAAGTCTCACTAACTGCAATAAATAAGGATTTACTCATATACCATTCTTTGATTGTAGGACTGATGGGAAATCCATTACTATACTTATTTTGCGTGCTGTCTCATCTTCTATTTTGGGCACAAGTTCACAAAAAAAGATATTGGGGAACTGGAGAAAGTGCCGAGAAGAGCAACCAAACTAAGAGGCATGAAGGAGCTCAGCTAAGAGAAAAGATTAGCTGACCTGAATTTATTCTCTCTTGGTAAGAGGTGATTAAGGGGAGTATGATCACCAAGTATAAATACATACGTAGCCTATATAGTGAACTTTCTGTACAGGTATTAATGTTCAGGCCATTACAGAAGACAAGGGGCACTCTGTGTCTGGAGGAAAAGAGACTTAACCGCCACATGTGAAAAGACTTTTTCACAGTAAGAGCTGTGAAAATGTGGAATAGACTCCCTCAAGAACTGGCTTTGGCTTGCTTAGCATATTGCTTTTAAA